TTAGGGCACTATGGGTTGGAATCATATGGAGACAATCATGTGTTTAAAAAAATTAATTTAATCTTTTTTTTAGTGGAGCGGAAGCGGAAACCAACAATTGTTTCTTTGTAAGCAACTTTTATTTTATGTTAATTAAAATATTTTAAAATTTACAGAAGTTGGGTGGGATTTTGGTCCCCCAAATAATACAGCTTTTGACTTGCTGTTTGACTAGATTAAGAGCTTCCCAACCGTTAGATTGGATTACTGGAAAAGCTAGTGTTTGCCTTTGGATGTGGATTTCTTCACTTGTCCAAACATCTTGAGTTTTGTTGGCTCACCTTTTCTCTCTCTCCAAAAGTCTTTGCTATCCGATACACCACACCTGATGATTATATTTGGAATTGAGTTTGATCCGACTCTTAAACGTGGAGCAAGTTTTGTTATTTATTGGCTTAAGTATACATGGTGCCCAATCTATACTCATTTTTTTTAATTTAGTGTCAAACGTTTATTTTATTTCAATTTGGTGTCAAACGTTTGAAGTTCAATTGCGGTACAAGTCCAAAATTTTTTAATTTGTGCTCAACGCACACCAACTTACTCTTTTCTTTTTTCAATTTCAGGACAGGGAAAAACGACGCAAAATCTTACGTGGAAACTTCGAATTAAAGTCGAGACACATCAACCTGGGCCTTAGAATATACCTCAATTTTGGTATTTTCTCTAAACAGTAATTTATATAAATAGTTTAGTTTTTTATTTTTAAAATACTAATAATAATATTAAATTCACTTTCACGTTTTTCTCATTTCACTTTACTATTTATATCTCTTGCTTCATCCTAAAAATTTGTTGCAATCGTAAATAAAATTTATTATAACATAAAATGTAAATAAAAATTTAATATTTATGATATTAAAGCATCACAAATGAAAATTAGGTACGAAATTATATATAAATTTATCGATTAATAAAACTTTTGAATATTTAATTTTAATCTTTTAGATTAACATACAAATATTTTAGAGATTGCGACTCTTTCTTTATCGATGATGAAATGTTTGACAAATCATTATAATTTGGTGAGAATAATCCTAATATAACTTTACACATATTAATCTTAATTTTATAATCACTAAATCATCAATTGGAAATTAATTATTTGGACCATTAATAAGCTGGTCTAATACCTTTTCATTGGCCTTTTGTTTTCTTCATTTTAGCATTACCCCAAATTGAATCCCAATTGGCCTACCAATTTAGTGCTTCGAATTAGGTCAATGAGGGATCTAACGATGCAACAAATCTACACTATACCTCTGTGCCATTGTATATGCACTAAGATACTCTCATTTTTTCCCTAAAGTTATAATTTTCAACTAAAATCTAACGTTCTAACAAGAAAAAAAGAGAGCAGTAGTTAGACCAATGATGGTCTAATCTTAGAGCTAATTTTATATAAGCAAATTGTTTACACAAAACACATATATAATGGAGGGATTAAAGGGATAATATATATAAAGTAGGTTAGCTAAGTTGTGAATGTCAACATCAAGTTGTCCCATGTGCCTCATCGGATTTATAAGCCACAAACAGTTAACACCACCATGCAAGTGGCTTTACTTATATAATTAACTTTAATATCGGTTTTAAAAGAGCAATTATTATCATAACCTACTTGTTTTTTTTATTATCATTATTATAACGTCGTGAATAAAATTACGTGCGGTGATTTGAAATATGTTACCCTTTATACTTGTATAAATATATTAAGTTTTGATATTTAATTAGAGAAAATAAATGTTTATATTTAATGTGTCATTGTTTATATTTGACTTGTATGTTTATGTTTATGTTTATGAAATAATATAGTAGAGTAAATATATATTATTGAGATTTATAAGTTTAATGTTCGTATTGTCACCGTGTGCATGTTATAATTCTCTCGGTTTGTAATGATACAATAATATCATTAGAGGAGTCTCAGCATGATCTCTCGGAGTATATAAGTGGACATGTAAAAATTTAACTCTTATTGAGTCGAGTTTTAAACTTATTTTAACATTATTTTGTTGTATACCCGATTTTAAAATAAGGAATTTTCGAATTTTGTATAAATTGTTTTAACTTGAGAATTTACTATTGTTTTATTTTAAAAAGAATTAATCACTCCGATGATTGAGCGTGACACTCGCAAACTCGTTAGTGGTTTTAAGATTGGTTTGAGATACTACAAACCAATTTTTAATTTAATTAATATTATTGTTAGATTATAAATTATTATATCTTTAAACACACAACAACCTTCAATTTAAAAATACGAGAGATTTATAGGTTATTTTAGACATTATATATAAACCCATGTTATAATAAATGCCAATGACTGAATTTAGAATAGCGGCGATTGAACTTTAATTCATTTAATATCATTGTTAGATTATAGAATTAGATGCGTTTGAACGTATGATGACTTTAAAGTTTAAACTTAAAAATACGAGAGATTATTTTTATCATAATTAAACAACCAAAGATGGATCAGAATTTCAAAAATCTAATCCTAAACCATCACAAACAACTTTCACATAATAGATCAGGACTGGGACCACTAGACCATGTAGGTAAAAATTTATATGAAGATCAAGCTTAGGTTCCACCGAGATTTGAACTCGGGTTACTGGATTCAGAGTCCAATGTCCTATCCACTAGACCATGGAACCTTGCGCTATGAACCAGCCAAACTAAATTATTTCTTCTAATGCTCCTCAAACTTTGATTAATTAAAGAACAAAAGAGAACAAAATGTAAAACATGATTTGCCACAAAAAAGTACACACGACATAACTGAGGTGGCAAAGATGATAAAGATGGATCTTTGAAAGAAATCGCAGAGAAATTTCAAGCAGACTTTGCTTTTGCTGATAAACTTGCTAGAGTCTGTTATGAAAGCTAGTCCTCAAAATCATGCACTTCAATTAACTCTTCAACTTCTGTTATCCATTAACAATATGTCGTTCCATACCACCATCAGCAAGCAACACCGAGCAATGATGGTGCACGAGGTACCACCGGCCATGATGAAACTCGTAGACGTTTGTCACATTAAATGCGCCATTACCCATGTCAGCATAGGTTTTCATAGTAAACCAAGCCACGTCTGTCAGCACCCGGGCTCAAACATCTCTAACATGAAAATCAACCCCTTGCTGCAAATTTAATGCTCAGTCGAATAATACTTGATTGAACCTGCAACCGGAAACAAACAATGAATTTTAGCAAAGCAAACCGGTGATATGGAGGGCCTAAATGAAAATGTTCAACCAACAAAATAATAGAATTGAAATGACAGCAGAAATTTAATTGGGCTGATTTCAAAATTAAAATCCAGGTTCACCTCAAGGCCAGACTATGAATTTTAGAGCAAAAGCTTGATGAAAAATCATATCAAACTACTGAAATTTAAAGTTTTTAGCCTTCCATCATTATAAGCAGAAAATGAAGTAAACAGTATACCCTGAAAAACGTTTTCCTAATGCATGAACACACTTCACATAATCTGCATTCAGCCAAAGACGAAGCATCCCCGAAACAGACCTATCTCTGATGATGTTAAAAGAATTCAGTATTAACATTCATTATGGCTCTTGTAGCCTCAAAGTATGCCTTCCACCCATTGACTAGTGTTACGGTATCTTGCTCCAAAGTAAAATCCTAACAAACAAAAGATTCACACATAAAATTTATGCCAACAACCCAACAATTGAGAAAGATATCAACAACCGACTTTGAGAAACATGACAATGCACAATAGCAAGATAGTGTATATATATATATATATATATATATATATATATATATATATATATATATTTTGCAATTTACCAGCTAAACAAACATTAAAGAAAGCAATGCATTTCTTCATTCATTGATTGTTTTCTAAAGCGTATAAAGTGATAAACAAACTCACACCACAAAGGAATGAAATAGAAGCTAAACAAACAATAAAAAAAGTGCATTTCTTCATTCAGTATAAACAATCAATGCCATGATTTGTGTTAGTTAGGTTCTTAATTCTATTATCTTCAGGAAAAAAAAAGAGCTAAAAATTGGGGAAATTGGGCACCTTATGATAAAGCGCCTTCCAAACATTATCATCATTAGCCGCCTTTCTCATCAGCGAGTGGAGAGCCGGCAAAGGCTCGGGTAATCCAAGTAACTGAGCGCGTGTGTTGTAATCTCCGGCACTAATTACTCCGTCATAGACGCCCCGTTCTGCCTCTCAGCCACTGCATTGGAAGTACTTCCCGGAGCACCACCGCTGCCGCAAACGACCACCCTGGAATCGGAATTTCCGTTGCAGTAGTACGATGGAGCGGCTCCTTTGATTTTGTCTTTATAGGGAGACGTGTAGGGACAGGAGGCGTTGGACTTGTGGGGCCTCTTGAAGAACGATCGGACGGCGACGATGAGGGAAAGGAAGGCGATGATTGTGGCTATGACGAACGGCTGAAGGGATTGAAATGCTATGGAGAGATTCCAGGCAATCTCCATTTATCACACATTAATGCTTCGCCGTGCATGGAACAAAACCCTAGAAAATTAATTAAAAACACACAAATATTTTGCTCTTTCGTAAATTGCGGTTTCCGGTAATTAAATTTGCCGAATTTTTGAAGAAAAAAAAATATAAAAAGTAATATACGAAATTCAATGCTGTAGCAGAAGCGAGGGCGGAGAGTCGTAACGGAGTAGAAGGTGATATTTAGACCAGAAAAATAGGTCAGTATTGGGGGAAATTTTTGTAAAAATTGGTATTTTATAAGTTCCGTTCGAAACGACGCGTTTTCATGCATTGTTTTTTGTAATAATTTTGAAATTATTATTAATATTTTAAGATTATATCATATCATAATAAAAAATATAATCTAATCTCAATGAAATTTTTTTCTGATGCTTAATGAATAAATTTATGAATTGCAATGGGTTATAAATTATAATCGAAAAATGTTCTGATGTTTATCTTGATGAAAAGATAATCACATGAACCATAAAGTGACAAACCTTTTGCATATTATACAAATATAAAAGAAACAGAGAATGCACAAATATGGTAAAATTATATTGCCTTAACGAAAAATCAACAGAAATGCAATCCTTAAAGCCATCCCCTCCCCACCAATCCATCTAATTTTCACCTTACTTGGACCAAGCCACCGTATCGATTTCCGCCTGTGCACTCCTGTATAATTCCAGTCTCTTTGCAAGAGCACTTCGTCGTTCCATGACAGCCGGATCCTCGTTCAATAAGTTCGATAACCGTTTTTGCTGCAAAATTTATCCCAGAAGTCAAGCACTGATCAGCATCGGTTTCACCAAAAAGAGTAAAAGATGGTAAGGAAGAACCGTTCTCACCTCCAGTTTACCCAATTCCGTGTAGTAAAAGTCGAGCAGGCTTCTTTTCGCTTCACGGACTTGACAATAAACGATAGACTTCGGAATGGAGTGGCGCAAAGTAGCACAGACCATATTTACGTAAGACAAAACCGTTGTTCCTGCTCATACATTGTCGGAGTAATCCATGATCAGAAATAAAATACATTGAATTTTAACATGGTTGGATTAATTTTGAGTAAAGGGTTTAGGATTTACCGATTCTCCTCAGGTAGGAGTCATTGTATCGGTCGAAAATTGACTGTGTAGCGCTGCCACCCTTATCCGCATCTTGTGGAAGCTTTCGGAAGAATTCAACTGTAAGGTAACAACACTCCATATCAACCAGTTGAAGTGTTGCTTTTCTGCTCTGATCCCTCATTCTTTCAAGAGACTCGATCGCAGCATTTCCAACCTCTGCTCTGAGTGCAGGATACTGCTTTAATTCCTGAAAACCAAACAGTTGACACTTAAAATCAAAGGCACCTTGAAGAAATAGAAAACGGCAGGAAAATATTCTTGGAAACATGAACAGGATAGGCGAAGATGATAAAAATACTGGAGTTTCACTGATAGCCTTGTGAACGAGATCCTTCAGAATCGAATGAATCTGAAAAATGTGACAAATGAAATCAATCCAATTTTTGAAAAAGTTCTGTAGAGAGAATCACAACTGAACTGATGATAAAGTTAAAAAGAAATGGAAAATCAGATGAGAAAATCTTGCTTCATACAGCATCAACAGCAGCCTCAGCTGGACCTCTGATAGTAACTAAAGTAGATTCAATCAAACGACGATATCCTTGTTCAGGAGCTATTAAATGCGGTTGATACCCATCAGCTTCAGTAATGAGCTTCCTAATATTCTCCATCGATAGCTGCCTGTCAAATTGCAACCTTTTCAAAGCAGCAGGAAGTTGGTTGTCGAAAACATTGTAAACCTTATCACCACCAGTACGCCTGTGAACAAAATTTAAAGTCAAAATAGAATCTATACAAAAATTAGCAAATATTGAATGGGGTTATAGACGGATAAAAACAAAACATGTTATTCATACACGCCATCCAAATGATCTCTGAAATTTTGATCGAAAAGACGGCAAATCTCCATGATTGTATACAACTTCCCCTGAATGAGCATTTTGATCATCAGGAATTCCCAAATAAGTTATAACTAATTATCAACTGCTAGTAGAATATCCAAATAATTCCCAAAAATCGCAACACACGCACACAGCAGGAGCACACTTACACCCGCATCAGCTGCAACTGGCTTTCCAAGACGGCTTAATTCAGTTTCAAGTTCGGTAATTGTTTTATTAATAAGGGACTGAATGCCAGGGATTCTAGACTTGATCACAGTTTCCAAATGCTGAGACATTAACCAATATCACAAGGTTAATAAAACTGGAGCAAAGTTAACACTGAATCCAGTACCATCTTGTTCTTTACAAAAGAAAATTGAGGATAAAAGTTCAAACAAAAAGTAACACAAAATGCCCGATAGCATACCTTTGAGAGCACCTTAGCAAGATGCTCAGAACCCATTCTGTTAGCAAGGTGCCTATACTCGGGCGTACTAGCAAAATACTCACGCTCTCTACGACGAGCAGCAATCATGTCAACATTCTTGTTAATATCTGCTTGTGAGCGATTCACAACACCAACCCAAGGGAATTTCAGCCGATAAGATTTGCCTTCCAATATCTTGTAAATGGGAACATAACTTAGAACACGATAATGCCTTAAGCATCCAATACTAAAGACTTTAAAAGGTTTTAGCATGTCAAAAAATCATGCATAAAACAACTTACATCGGCTGCATCAGTGCCCTTATCCATCAGATCAATCTTTGTCAAGACACCAAGTGTCCTCTCCCCTGAAAAGTTTATAACAATGATTAGTAATAGAAAATCCAAGATATGCAAACAAAATGCTTTGAGCCCTTAAGTCCAAAAGTTTATATATCATGGCAATCCTTTTATGAATATTAGCACAAATCTAAAAAAACACCCATAGCTTAAAAGTTCACATGGTATTACTTAAAAAAAGTAGAAAATATGATAATCTTCTGGTGCATGGCAAGGAAAAGTATATATTGAATGAAATAGTATTGCAAAAGAATACCTGTAGGGTCCACCTCTCGTGAGATTTTAATTGCATCAGATGTAGCGAGATCTTGATTAGCAGGTGAAATTGCTAATATTATACAGTTGGGCTGCATAAAAAGTTAAACAGAAAAATACCGCAGCAGTGTTCACCTTCCATTCTTGCATAAACCACGAAAAAATGTATACTGCAAAGTTATTGGTAAACAGAGGAAGTGGCAATTACAGTAATAACTATCCACAACCCATTTTCCTAGGATTTTCAAAGACATCACATATACGACACCCAATATCCTAAATATAGTTGGCAGTATCATCACTGTAAATCTTATTTAAGCAAATTTTCCTAAAAGGAGCACACGATAAAGATCAACTGCATTTTACCTTCTCAATATAAGAGTGAACCATATTCTCGATATCTTGCACAATGCTTTCTGGCTGACCCTCTACATTTAGCAAGACAATCCATCAATTTCACATATCACATTGCACCAAAAACAGCTAAAAAGATGGGGTTTAAAAGTTATAAAAATGTTAAAACAAAATACTACAGCTACAATATTTGAATATTTAAAATGGGAAAGAAAATTGCAGTTTGAAGATTACACTCCTTGCTTGGTTCACCTTGGAAATATTTTGAGTCAATAACAATAAAATAAGGCATCAAATTTTATTTAAATTTACTAGGCTGTTCGTTAACTCACCAACTGCTACCTTCGTAAGACCAGGAAGATCAATAAGAGTCAAATTGACAACTGCAACAAATTAAAAAGGGAAAAAGCTTATAAATAATAATTAAATAAAAAACAAAAGACAAAAGAGTAAGCATTTACAAGTGGATTATACCATTGGGAGAATATATGCTAAGATGAATTGGAACACTTGAGATTTGCTTGCTTCGGCCAGTTTCTCTGTCTGTCTCATCTTGAATCTCCTTCCTAACAGCAGCTATAAACACAGATAATGACTAACTTCAAAATCCAAGTCTAGCCCATGCTTAAAGCTGGTAAAAACAAAAGCCGAAAGGGTAAAAAGTAATAAATTTACCGAAATCGGTGAATCTTTTTCTCGGAAGGTGAAGAAACTCAGCATATTCTCTGCTTCCTTCATCACTCTTGTGAAGCTGTAACACCAGAGGTCTCCGAGTAACAATTCCTACATTAATTTTTAAGCAGAGAAACAAAAATTAATAAAAATAAATATTTCTTATGTTCATCAGCGATGAAGGATAGATTTAATGCGGTGATATATTTTTACCGGATCCACGAGGTAAGAAATCCTTGCCGACTATGCTTTCGAGCACCGAAGACTTCCCTGAACTCTGTTAATATTCAAAATCTTAGATCAGCTGAAAGTTAAAAGGAAAAGGAGGAAAGGGGAAAAGTTGACTAAATTGAAAACGGAAGCAAAAGTCGAGTGTTGACCTGACCGCCGACGACGGCAATCGCCGGAAGTGAATCCCAAAGAGTAGGTAATGCGCTTGCTTCTCCATGGTCACCGAGAGCCGTACAAGCCCTTTGAATCTTGTTCACAAGGGAAATCAAATTATCCATTTCTTTTTTAAAGCAACAGATCTGAGTCGTATTCAAATCAGGCTGGTCGGAGCTGATTAATTAAGCAACGGTAGCACCTCAGATCTGAGTCGGGTTTTTTTTTTTGCTTGGAGAAGTTTTGAAAACGGAAGGAAAAATGAGACGATGGGTTTAAAGTGATGCGCGTTGTATTTAAGGTGACTCAGTCTGAATACGAGAGAAAATGCGTAGTCTATGTTGACTCGATAGCGCGACTGAGTTAACTCGAGAGCAAATTACGTATTTAATTAATCATCTATTTTTATAATTCTATTTCGATCATTTAATTATTTTTTAAAATTATATTTTAATTTTACTTTAGTTACTTGCTATTAAAAAATATATAATCATAAAGCTCAGAATATACAAATAACTAAAAATCAATATCCCTATCTCATTTTATTATTTGTTTCTCTTTCGTTTTTCTTTTGATCTTATCAAAAATTGTATAATTTTATAACATAAAGATATTAAGAAATAAGATTAATTGTATTAAGAGAGAAATTTTGAAGAAAAATAATTCAAATTGAGAAAAGACGAAAGGTATAAAGAAATTAAAGAGAGAGAGAAAGGGTGAAGAATTCAAATTACTAATCATAAAATTCCCGAACGTTGGTTTTTCAACTTTTCATACTTGTCCATGGGGTCCCTGTGAAGTGCAAAAACCTAAGAAAATAAATTTTTAAATATAACAACCCAAGTTAGAAAATATAATTTTAAATTTTTATAAATGTCAACACTTTCAAATGGTATTTACCATTACAGCATTGATTGATCTGATTTTTCAAATATAAGCACGCCATTACAGCTCAAGATAATTTGAGTTCCAGTTCAAAGTTCTGTATCCGTACAAGTTCTTGCTCGTTCAATTCCATTAAATTCTTGTATATCTCTTCGATGCCGAATTTCGCTCTGATAAAATCAAAGATTATTTCTAATAAGCTTGAAATATCGCATGACATATATTGGTCTAGTTTTAAGAATTAACAATTTGAAGATGGAGAGAATATGAATTTCCAACCAGCCCTCGCCCAGCATTGAAGCTCTACAAATGACAATGGAATCACATTTGACCACAAAGACCAGAAATAAAGACATACATTATTACACACAGTTTTAGTTGAACCTACTACATTTGTCACATTTTCCAACATTCGAGTGAAAAAACAAGGCACCAGTATCATGAAAGATGGAAAGAACAAACAACCTATACTAACATACGTAACTATACCTAAAACATCACTTGCCAAATCGGCCTCTTCCCCACGACATTCTTTGCCTCCCACCACCATTGGCTGCTACATTGTTGTTCTGATGCGAAGAAAATACCCTTGTTCGCTCTTCCTTCATGATTGCAAACAGGGAATCCAATGTTTTAGGCTTTTGCTTTGTTCTTGTGTTCCCTTGTCGCTCTCCTTGTTGCTGCTGATGCTGTTGCTGCTGATGCTGTTGCTGCAGCGGCTGCTGCCACTGTGGCTACAAAGTATATGGTTGCTCACTTAGCACCAATGCAAGTGTTACAAGAAATTCATTTAAATGACCAAGACCAGCCATATTACAACACCTATATTGAGAGAAAAATACCTTCACTGAAAAGCCTCCATTTCCAGCCTTTCTTTGGACACGTGGTGCTCCAATTCTGCACCAGAGAAGCAAAAACCATGAATGCATAACAAAAAAAAACATAACAATGAGTTAAGTCCAGTGACGAACTAGCTTTCACCCAACATGCCAGCAACCAGCACCAAAATGTTGAGACTGAAGAATCTTACCAGAGCATAGGAAGACTATTTATATTTCCAGTTAACAGAAACATAAACCAAACAATCTCTAATATAACTCCCTCCATTTTCTGCAAAACTTTTTCAATTTGAAAACATGATCATGCATCTAAACCCCAATCCGGAAATGCATTGCTACCAACAGAGAGAGAAGCTTCCACTGGTGTAGCTGAACTAGGGAAAACCTCATAGGTATGTTCACCACATCCCCACCGAACAACGGCACCACTTAGAGAAAACTCCTATACCTCATCTTTAGAAGAAAACCAACGCCACTTGAGTAAATGTACAAGTGTCAAATTTACATCAGCTTAAGCTTCCAATATTCCCCAACCCAATACTGTTCCAGCTTCATTATCTCTAGCTCATATTTCAATATGGCACCAGCAACAAACTACTCATTAAATCAAAATATTCATAGCCAATATTTAGCAGGCAAGAGAAACCCTAGAAAAGATTAAGGGTCAACAGTAGACTGTAAAAGGGAGCTTCAAGATAGCCAAAAGCTTCCCAACTAGTTAAAACTGGTCATGTACACGGAAGGATGTGCAGGCTCCCACCCAATGACTAAAGCCATCAAGGAATCTGAAGACGCCAAAACTACTTGATAAGGAGATCGTAATTATTGGTAGACCCAGCAAATGGAACTACAAAACCCCATCAGCATAAGAACAAACTACCCAATTAACTTTTCTAGACATGTTCAGAGTTTGTCAAATCATTAAACAAGTCACCTATATGAACAATGTTAATCTTTAGAATGTTGCACAATAGAAATCATCAAAACTTGGCGTCATGTTTTCTCTCTCTAAATCCATCTCCTTCAGACATTATAACCACATTAAACACTTGATATTGGATGCTTCGATGTCCCACCAAAAAGGGGAAACCAATTAACTTGTGAGCCTTGCACAATATAGATATGAAGCTACTAGCATACTACTTTGGGTAGTTTGAACATAAAAAATAGCCAAACACTTCAAGATAATCTCACATTCGGCCCTTTCCACAAATAAATGTAATCAAATATTAGGAGTTCCACACAACAAGCAACTTGAAATAAGTTAACCGGGACCACATTCCAGAGGTCATCAATATTGTAGAAGATCCAAAATTTACCTGCAATGACTCAATAGTAGCACCATCAGATGGCAGTGATTACATTTTGATTTTAAACACAACTAATCCAGCAATAAGAAATCATTGTTTCTCTATTAAGAAACTATTGGATTATTTGACATCAACATACCTTGGTTTGTTCAAATTAGCCACCCTGCTATTATTCAAAGTTCTATTCCAAATTGGAGCAACTGCAGCCCTTCGGGCAGCCTCAGCTGCAAAAGGAAACCCGTTCCCCCGGAAATTAGACCTTCTTTGAGCTAGAGCCCCCTGATTTACATATATGGGCACACATAAGAATATGAACCAATGTCAGAATGTGCAACCAGAAGAGATGCAAATCTATCAACAAACTCGATAAAAAATAAGAAACCTGTCTAAGAGAAGCTCGCGAGTCCATGTACTGTCGTACTTTGAAAGCCTTATCTTTGGCAGCATTACTCACATGCCTCTGATTTTTATTCTGATCATAAGACAAGAACAGATTAGAATATCATTCTAAGCACAAGGTACAATAAAAATGTGATTTCTGGAGGAAGAAAATTCTTACCGGTATCCTTTGCGGCTTCTTGCCTTTGTTTGAAGTATTTTTTGACATTTTTATGATATCATCTAAGTCCATAAAAAAGGCAAACTAATCAGAATCATGTTTACTCACTCTAAGAGAACAACTTTAAACAAGTCATAAACAGTCAAAAGCTCACCCAGAGTCATGTCCATTTTCTTTTCTGTGAGGGCGATCGTTTCACTTGTAAGTGGTTTAGCCGCCATCTGACGAGGTAAACAAGCATTAATCCAAAGCAATAGAAATATATAATTAGAAATACATCAAAAGGAAATATTCCAAGTTAAAAACAGACAACTCAATATCAACAGAAAACACACAAACAAAAAGAAGTAGCATCCTAATTTATACACGTATATCGGAAAAGTTCAATTTCATAAACCCTAAAAATCACAAAGTAATCAAACGCAATGAAGAAATCCCTAATTCACGATATCAGCATAAAACATTAAAAACCTACAAATCACAGCAAAATCAAAAAAGAAAAGAAATCAACAAACAAGCAGTATAGAAACAGATTTGCAGACGATATACGATAGACTCAAGAAAAGGCGAAGGATTTGAAGAGAGAAACTTACCGATTTAGAAGAAGAAAGAATTAAACTACGATCTTCGATGAGAAAAGCGAAACGAATTCAAGGCTTGAAGCTGGAGATAGGGTTAGGGTTTTCGAAGTGACTTCGAAATAAAAGAGGGCAAATTTTTCAATGCTTTGGATGCTTTACTCCAAATAGAAAACGAGTAAACAGACGGGATTATTTGTTGGTTTTATATACGGCAAGTGAGGTTGGCGGATTTCAAGCTCAATCATTTATAGTTAATATAATTAGATTTCAAGTCCGAGATTGATTAGGGATCAGGTAATTAAAAGCATTACGAATTCACGAGGCTTTTTAGTAACGAATACGAGTCCGCCACGTCAGTGATTGTTGCGTTTGTTTATTGGAGAAAATTCAATCCCCTAACGTGGCGTTTGTTTATTTGTTTCAAAATATATTTTAATATTTTAATAAATAAATAAATAACACACTTATTGTATTTTGATGGTACTGGTAAAATTAGCTTTTTATTTATAATATTATTATATAATAATTTTTATATTATTTGTGTTTTTATATAAAAATAATTATAATAATATGAGTCAAGAATTAAAATATAAACAAGATTGACGGTTAACTCTTATTAGTTATTTGTAATATACTATGTCATTAAATTATTGCGTTTCCTCACAACAATTATGCTTTTTTAAAACAACCGATGATACCATTTTTAGATATTTACTATTATAGAATAAAATATTATCCCGAACATTTATATAAAGATATTAATATTGATTCTCAAATATAGTAAAATATTATAATAAAATAAAATATAAAGATTAAATTTTGGAATGAATGATTATTTTTCATTAATATATTTTTTAAGTTTTAAATTTGATTCACATTTCGTTAGGTTAAATTTGATTTTATTGTACCTCTAAATAATATACTAAAAGATAAATATCAATACTAGTATACTACCTTTCTTGATTGTTAGAAAATGTTTCAAACATTTGATAATGATTTGCAATTTACCCCTATACCCTTGTATGCTTACATTATTTGCAAAACGGTCCTCAAATGAGTTTTTGCAGCCTAATTATTTTACAAAGCATGTTAAATCTTCATCCGTAGGTGGCTTCGATGCTTTAGAAAGATTTACATGCCACATTTTTTTGTATGAAACATGTTCGTGTAGTTCGTATTTTTGGTATTAAATCTTCATGTTATATCTATATTGACATGTTGATATTAATAATTGAAATTCTAATAATTTAATCTAATATTGATACTGAACATCAGTATATATCAACATTGATGGTTTAATACCATCGGTAAACAATGTTATTGTATCTTGAAAGAGATTATTTTTTATTCATCGAGTTTGGTTTCAGATAAACGACGTTCTTATTCTAGAAATTCTGCCTCAAGCCTCAACCCCACCCGGGACCAAAACTTTCCGCAACTACTGATTAATCATCAATGCAAAATAAAGTCATCAATTGACTCCATAGATCCATTTCTCATCGTTGCTTTTATAGTTAACCAGCTCTACTGGTTTGAACCATAAGTTGATTTCATCCTTTGCTGTCCCAGGACCATCACTCCCATGAATTATATTCCTGCATTGTAAAAAACAAACCCCATTTTATATATATATATTCGTAAAACTAATATCCTTCCAGAATATTCAGCCTTGTACCTCCCGACGACCACTGCTAGATCACCTCTGATGGTTCCGGGCTCCGATCTCTGTGGATCGGTTGATCCGATGAGTTTCCGGCCGTATTTTATGACTCCCTCTCCTTCCCACACCTGTTGTTTTATGGGATTTTAGTTCAGCTGTGTTGGAAACGAATACAAGGAGAAGATGAGATTTGTAGTTCAGTTTTTTACCATAGCAACCACAGGGCCTGAACTGAGGAATTGACAGAGGCCATTGAAGAAGGGTCTATCCTTCAAGTCATGGTAATGTTTCTGGGCAAATTCCTTTGAAGGAACCATTATCTTGATAGCCACGAGCTTGAATCCTTTGCGCTCAAAACGAGATATGATATCTGCAATCTGGAATATAATATACATCCTTTTAGCCATATGTCGTATTTCAATCCATCATTAAAGAAAATGAAACAGCTACACTTGTCTACAAGAGAAAATCAAAATATCCGATTATGAAAATTTGATTGTTCATTTTTCTTAAAATATTTCTATTCGATGTATTTTCAAACATAAATATTAAGAGATGAGCCTTCAAGACCCTCCAAATACAGTATTATTTTTTTAATATATGTTAGATGTATATTCCTGCCCAACATTTTTCACTCAAAATTCAATCACAATAAATATCCATCTTATTTCTTCTAAGACATACCTACAATCTAAGTAAAACTAGTACTGACAACAAGCATAAAGCAGCATTTTTTATGTTCAACATCTCAATTCAGACTTCAAATTTCTTTAACTATCCGAGTTCGATACAATTTGACCATCGAAGAATTCTAAATATATATAATATTCTTATGTTAGGCACATACTAATATCCAACACTCAAGTTCCAAGTGTGAGTAACTTAGTTTCATCTATGGCTAGAAGATAGGGAAGTCTTGGACAAGATTAGGTTGATAATAAAGACAAGAAGAACCTTACCAGCCCTCTTTGTACTCCATCAGGCTTGATAGCAATGAAGGTGCGCTCAGTCTGAATGATGAAGAATAGAATTAAAAAGTAACAAAAGAGATGAAAAGCATATATAAAGTATTAGCTATGGAATCGAACATGTAATGGATTACCTGTGCAGCATGAGCCTCCTGCTCCTGAACCATGTAAGCTACAAAGAGAGAATGCAAAACAAACATTCAGTTCATAGTTTTTGCTGCTATTTCTTTTTTCTTTTTTGGTTATTTAACCTCTCTGAGATTTAAGTCATTTAATTCTAACCTGCCACTGGAAGAGCAAACACTCCTGAAAGCCATCCTCTGGATGCATTGGTAGAACCACCATTTCCATAAGCTGAAGCTAAAAGAGGCACCTTACTGACTGAAACTGCAGCTGCTGCCGCAATAGTCACTGCCCGTCCTTCTGCTGACGATAACATAAAGCTAAATACCTTAAAACAGAATGATTTCGCATTTCATGTAATAGAAATTCAAAGAAAGTGGTGGTGAAAGATAAAAATAAAGGCGTTACGATTATTTTTTTCTTTTCAACAAAAACAGAATTGATTCAATAACTAGGCAAATGAGACATTTCTCTCCTAATTTTTCCCTTTTGAAAATTACATAATCATATATTAAATTGGAATGTAACTATCAGATATAATATAAATTCATTGTGAATATAATTGTTTTTCAAGATTTTTATGTGTTTTTTCTTGAAACAGTCATATATACAGATCCGGTATGAGACACAAATATTTTTTTAAAGTAGTGAATTGAAATAACATAGTGTATCCAAACAACGGAAAAACTCAACAATCGACTATAATAGTAATTCCAATATCAATATATTAAAAAAAAAAGTAAATGCAGTGAAACAAAATTTTCAAATGGAATTAGAATTTTATTTCGACACTTGATAAACAATCAGAGTTGAAAAATGATTCAGATGATTTGATCTAAAACCAGTAATAAGAATCAGACAATATCACAAAACTGAAAGAAAAAAAAAAGCACTTAAACAAAACATTTCGCATTATCGGAAAACACATTCATCAAAAAATAAAGTCACAGGCCATCGCTAATCTATAAAAATTGCAGAAAAACAAAGCGTTACTAAAACAATAAGATGAGGAAATCACCGGAGCAAAAGCGAGAGTTCTTCGAAGCTGAAAAGAGTGATCGGACAGCTCTAGAAGCAGATTTGCAAATCTGAGAGCTCATTTTCTTTTTTTGCTTCGTTTGTTGGAGGATTGATTTGGTATAAACAAGCCGAGAGCGCTTATGAAGTGTTTGTTTTAGGAACTGATTGCTAAATTTAGATTTTGACAGTTACATATTTCTATGTTGCTCTTTCAATTATATAATATTTATTTTTATTTTTAAAAAAGATTGTAGAATAAATTTTGGTTTTCAGATTTTATTATTGCACGATAAATGATAATGTGTTTGATATGAATAAATATTTTTTTTAAAAATTAATATCGATCTCATTAATAAAAATACTATTCTTCGTAAAGAGTTTAGATTTAATAGTTGCATATTTAGAGCGTGTATATTGTTAATAAAATAAAACCGCAAGCAATATGGAGTTATTAAAAAGTAAGTTTTTAAATATATATATTGGTTGCTCATTTAATTTTCAGGGTTTCGTCATGATTAATCCGAATCGATCTGTATCATACACTTGATTTTGATTGATGAATCTTCCAACAATAATTTTATACATATACAAGGCCTCGACAGACATGACGACTTCTACAATATCATTGGTAGGAGATAGTTTCGATCTCCCTGTAACACTGATCCCATATCCCTAATTAATTATAAATTATCCTATTTTTTAAAATTTTCTTTAAAATGGATTATTTCCTATAATTTTGCCTAGTACTACATAAAGCATGTATTAAACTATAACGTTAACGAACAACAATCGTCTCAGCCGACGGCTCCCTAACAGATAAAAAAATTGACCCGACACTGACTCGGGAAAATATTTGAATAATAGTAATACTTTTCCTTAGATTCTCACATAAAATAATGAAAATTTCCATGAAAATAATCACACGAAATCAAATGGACAACCTCTAATAAAAACGTACAGGCTTCCATTAAAAAGAAAGAAGGAACGAATGAATCAGGGAGAATTGTAGCCAAAACTGTTCCCACGAAGGTACTTGAGCTGCACAGAGACCTGTCTTTCCATCCGAAGTTGTCTATGAAAATTAGCGATGAACATCTCGGCCCTCTTATCCACATCATCCTCCGATTGATAACTCGTCGTCCGAGCCAACCTATTCGAGCAACGACCCGAATCATCCGAATCGTCATCGTCGTACACGCATGCCCTTAACCCTGGCCTATCCGTAAAGCTCAGCCTCCGAGAAGCATCGCCAATCATCGAAGCGACACGCCATCGGTTCATATCGAAACTCAGCAACAGTTTTACCTTCTTTACGACCCTCCTTAGGCGGCTAAGCAACCCCATGGTGTAAATGTAAATTGAACAACTTTGATTGTATGGATCGAAGCTTGAAGATTTAATTGATGATATGATTGTTGATACAGGATCAGAATTGCCGTGTGTGTGTGTGTATATATATAGGGTTTTCTTACAGAGGAGTTAAGGAAAAGGAAGGTGTTGGGTAAGTATGGAAGAAAAAAAAATGCGTATAAAAATGGAGAACGGTGTCAAGATGGCTGCGCCATGCTAGATTTTTATGCAAGATTAAGAGCATATATATTTGGTCAAAATTTTGATTCATTCTATAATAATAATCCAGTTTAAGTATATATATGTATGTATGTATGTATATATACACACAAATTTAATCAAAATTTAGTGATGAAATAAGAGTAATGATTTAACAGTGGAGTAACTAAAATAAGAGTAATGTCAAAATTTAGTGATTAAATTGAAATTTTCAAAATTTAAAGTTAAATTTAAGTGATGAAATTTGTAATTTATCATATATATATATATATATATATGTTATTTTATTAAATGACAAGGAATTTTCTTTGTTCTTTCATGGAAAAAAGTGTATGTATGTAATTGGGCAGCCAAAAACCTGATAAATATGTAGATTAGATAGATTTTGACTTGGTTGTTGTTTTAGATTTCTTATTAAGAAGCTAACCATTGTAGAGTCTGCTTCCCTAGATATGCAACTACAAATTATGTACATAATTGAGGAATTAAATTTCCACAAAAATATATTAAAAAACAATAAATGTAATCAAAATTAGTTAGCTAATTTAGCATCAAATTGTTCACTGTTTGAATTCAGTTGTAAAGGTTAAACAATAAGATATTTATAATTTTTAATTTAAAAAGTATAATAACAATTATAAACTATTAAATGTTAAATTAATTAATTAAAACAATTTTTTATGTAAAAAACTATTAAACTCCTACGTCAAGTTGTGGATAGCAATCATTTAAAATTTAAAATTTTGAGTTTGGTAGTTGGTCCGGTATGTTGTGTGGCCACATATAAAAATGAGGTTGTCTAAAAAAAGACAGATTAATATATAGTTAAAAACAACGTAATTGAAAATTTAATAAGATAATTAATAAATTCGGTAAAGCGTTACCTATTATGTTGACAGTCTATAATGTTGTAGGTAGAAAACATGAAAAACTATTAAAAAATTTAGTAACCGATAAACTTTCGTTATCGGTAGGTATCGATACATATATATAAGTGTTCATATTTATTTCACTGTGGAAAATATTAATTTAGGTTTATCTTTTGAGTGAGTTTTAAGATATTAATTTAGTAATTATACGCGTCTAATGATTTATTTTTATGTTACGGTATATATTATTATTAAATTAAAAATAATAAATATAGATATTACATATTTATTATTATCTTTGGTTAAAATTGTTAAATTTAAATTCTAAATAATATTTTATAAAATATCTAAACAATCAAATAATTTGTTGTGTAAATGAAATTTTTAAATTAATATTGTAAGTGGGAAACATGAAACACTATTAAAAAATTTTGAAACATAAATTACATAACTTTCAACAAAGTATTAATACATGTACAAAAAATATCAATATTTTCAACATATTTGGTAGCTCTTTACCGGTTTTGTCATAATGAAACTGATTTTGTCATATTTTTACCTGTTATATTGTTTTGTATCGATACATTTTTATAAGGTATCGATATTTTATAGGCGCTATTACTGTTTTTCTTTTAAATTCCAAAAGTATTAATACTTATTTAAATAGAATCGATACTTTCAACATATTCAGTAGGTAGTTTAATGTAATAGGTAGCGCCTATTTTATTTTACTGTTTACATTATTAGTAATCTTTAAACAAACCGGTAGGTATTTTAATATAATTGGTAGCGCCTATTTTTTTTACCGTTTACATTATTATCAACCTTTAAAAAAAACCGATAGGTAGTTTAATGTAATAGGTAGCGCCTATTTTTTTACCGTTTATATTATTAGCAACTTTCAAAAAAACAGGTAGGTAGTTTAATGTAATAGGTAGCGCCTATTTTTTTACCGTTTACATTATTACCAACCTTTAAAAAAACCGGTAGGTATTTTAATGTAATAGGTAACGCCTATTTTTTTTATTGTTTACATTATTAGCAACCTTCAAAAAAAACTGGTAGGTATTTTAATATAATAGGTAACGCCTATTTTTTTACCGTTTACATTATTAACAACCTTAAAAAAAACGGGTAGGTATTTTAATATAATAGGTAGTGCCTATTTTATTTTACCGTTTACATTATTAGTAATTTTTAAACAAACCGGTAGGTATTTTAATATAATATATAGTGCCTATTTTTTTACCGTTTACATTATTAGCAACCTTAAAAAAAATCGGTATGTAGTTTAATGTAATAGGTAGCGCCTATTTTTTTTACCGTTTACATTATTAGCAACCTTCAAAAAAACTGGTAGGTATTTTAATGTAATAGGTAACGCTTATTTTTTTTATCGTTTACATTATTAGCAACATTAAAAAAAACCTGTAGGTATTTTAATGTAATAAGTAACGCCTATTTTATATTTCCAGTTAAATCATATAACATTTACGGTATATATTTTAACCAGTCACTTGTTTAACCATTCACGCTTTTTTAGCCGTTTTTTAACCGCCTCACAGAAGAACTTTCTAAAAATGTGATGAAAAAAATCATTTAGGGTCTCAGCAAAATTGTTTTTTAGTTTAGCATGGTTGTTATAGCATTCGTTGGAGGACGCTCGGACAATACATCTTCTTGAAGATATCCAAATGATACGGTGTCTTTAGCAAGACTATAGCTTTCTAAGTGTCGGAACCATCTTTCGGTTGGGCTCCGAATTGGGCTTCGACTTGGATTAAATGAATTGAAGTCGCCACTGACTATTTAAAACAAATTTAGGTAGGTCGGACACTATCTTACCTGATCTGCGTTGTATAAGAAATGTGTCGGGTTCGGGAGTCGGTTACGGTCAAGGAAGGATTAACACCCTTGAACCGCCCTTTCGGTACCAATTAATACATCGGTTGTCTTAATCGCGAAAATCAAAATTAATATTTAAAAATTCAATTCAAATTAATTATCTTTGATCGATTGAAAGTATCCCTAAAAAGTCAAAAGTGTTGGATTGTAAAAATGAAAATAAACATGAGAAAAGAATAATAAAAAATATTAATATAATAATATTAATAAAAGATGAATATATATATATATATATATATATATAAAACAATGTAAAAATAAATAATAAATAATAAAATTAGGAGAAAATAAAAAATATATATAAAGTAAATAAATAAAAAATGAAATAAAAAGAATAAGTCAAAAGTTGTTACATCTCCCATGTTTTGCGTGTAGAAAACTGAATTTGCAATGAAAATGCTCTGTCACTCCTCGTGCTTTTAGATACTGGCTTTGGATCCTCCACGCTTATTTTTGTCCTTTTTTTCTCTCAGTTTTTTCCAAATCGTTGCCCATTCTTCTGATTTTGGTTCCACGTTTTTCTATGTAATCTTTCCTCTTGATGGTTGAGTCTATTTATAGTCTAAATAAACCTATTTTTAGCTCAGATTTAAAGTCCTACTTAGACTCGAAATGCTTCGATTTTAGTGTTTCAATAGGACTCAAATACGTTGGTTTTAGTATTCCAATAGGACTCAAATACGTTGGTTAGTTTATGAATCTCACTAAATCGAGGTTGAGTGTGGGGTCTGTAAAAATAAAAAAATAATAATAAATATAATAATAATAATAATAATAATAATAAATAAATAAAAATATAATGTTTTTGTAGACCCGGACAAAAACGAATGTCTACAGCTGCCCCTCTTTGCGCATTTTTGTGTTAACAAGAATAGGGCAAAAATGAAAAAGACAACCAGTTTTTGTCCGGTTCTCTTTGATTTGAGACTTGATAGTATTTGTTGTGACACTAAGTCGATCTATTGGGCACGATATCCTTCTTCTTGAAGTTGAAATCGTGGGTGAATCGAAAAGTGATTTTTTGTTGCCAATTTTGGTCAACCTTGGTCTTCTTCTCGATTTAAAGAATTGGGTGTAAAAATTTGACCGGGAAGTAGTTCCTTACTGATGCAACGCGGTTGATACGCCCTCGAGCTTAATGGAATCGAACTCAAAGGTCTTTGGCAGATAGTCCTTATTGCCTTGACATATGCTGCAAATGATAGTGCCTTTGAGCTGAGTGGAGTCGAACTCGAAGGTCTTTGTTGACAGATAACCCTTCTAGCCTTGAGTTATGCTGTAAATGATAGTGCCTTGGAGCTGAGCATAGTCGAACTCGAAGGTCTTTTGTTGGTAAATAGCCCTTCTTGCCTTGAGCTATGTTGCAAATGATGTGCCTTGGAGCTGAGCGTAATCGAACTCGAAGGTCTTTGGTGATAGATAACCCTTCTAGCCTTGAGTTATGTTGTAAATGTTGGTGCCTTTGAGCTAAGTCTAATCGGACTCGAAGGTATTTGGCAGATAGCCTTTCTCGACTTAAGTTATGCTGCAAATGATGTGCCTTGGAGCTGAGCATAGTCGAACTCGAAGGTCTTTGGTTGGCAGATAACCCTTCTCGACTTAAGTTATGCTGCAAATGTTGGTACCTTTGAGTTGAGTGTAATTGAAATCGAAGGTCTTTGGCAGATAACCCTTCTAGTATTGAGTTGTACTACAAATGATATACCCTCGAAGCTGAGTGTAATCGAACTCGAGGGTCTTTGGCAGATAACCCTTCTCGACTTAAGCTATGCTGCAAATGATGTGTCTTGGAGCTGAGCGTAGTCGAACTCGAAGGTCTTTGGTTGGCGGATAACCCTTCTCGACTTAAGTTATGCTGTAAATAATATGCCTTGGAGATGAGCGTAGTCAAACTCGATGGTATTTTGGTCACAGATAACCCTTCTAGCCTTGAGTTATGCTGTAAATGATGTGCCTTCGAAGCTGAGTGTAATCGAACTCGAGGGTCTTTGGTAGATAGCC